CCAGATATTTATCATTTTGGATGTCCCCCCTTCCTTCCTAAAAATTCATATTTTCATTTGGTCTCATATCTCTTTAGCCTGAAGAATTTCCTTCAGCATTTCTTTAGTGCAGATCTGCTGGTGACAAATTCTTTTACTTTTCTTTTATCTGAAAAACTTTTATGTTGCCTTCATACTTGATAATTTTTTTTTTTTTTTTTTTTTTTTTTTTTTTTTTTTTTTTTTTTTTTTTTTTTTTTTTTTTTTTTTTTTTTTTTTTTTTTGCCTTCATACTTGATAATTTTTTTTTTTTTTTTTTTTTTTTTTTGCTAGAGATAGAATTCTGGGCTAGGTTGTTTCTTTCTTCCAGCCCACCAAGACGTTAATCCCCTGCCTTCTGGCCTCCATTGTTTCCGACATGAGAGATCAGTCATTTGAATCACTGTTGCCTGCTTTGTAACTCTTTCTGGATATTCTCTCTATCATTGATTTTCAGAGGCTTGACTCTAATGTGCCTGGGCATAGTTTTCTTTTAGTTAACCTGTTTGAGGATTGCTGAACTTCTTAGATATGTAAATTTATGTCTTTCTCTAGAGCGCCTGGGTGACTTAGTCAGTTAAGCATCTGACTCTTGATTTTGGCTCAGGTCATGATCTCATAGTTCATAAGTTCAAGCCCTCCATCAGCCTCTCTGCTGTCAGTACAGAGCCTGGTTCAGACCCTCTGTCCCCCTCTCTATGCCCCTCCTCCTCTCTCTTCCTGTCCTCTGCTTGTTCTCTCTCTCTCAAGCTAAATAAATCAACTTTAAAAAATGTATGTCTTTCCCCAAGTTTGGAGATATTTTTTGTCATTATTTCTTCAAATAGTATTTTCTATCCCCTTCATCTCTCTTTTCCTTCTAGGGTTCCAATTGCATGTATGTTAGACCTTTTGATATTACCCTACAGACTCTATTATTATTCTCTCTATTCTTCAGTTGGATGTTTTATGTTGATCTTTCTTTAGATTCACTGACTCTTTCCTCTGTTTTCTCCATTCCATTGTCAAGCCCATCCAATTGATTTTTACAATTTTAGATATTGTGTTTTTCAGTTATAGAATTTCCACTTGATTCTTTTTTATGGTTGTTTTTATTTACCTGCAAACACTGTATTTTCATTGTTACTTTAACATGTTCCTTTACATCGTTTAGCATAGTCAAATGGTTGCTTTAAAATCATTTTCTGCACATTTCAACATCTGCTTTGAGGTTGGCTTTTTGTTGATTGTCTTTCGTCTTCAGCATGGGTCACATTTTCTTTGAATGTCAAGAGATTTTGGATTGTATTCCAGATAGTGTGATTGTGACGTTGTGGAGACTGAATCTGTTGTATTCCTTCAGAAAGGTGTGAATTTTTGCTTTAGCAAATAATAACTTGGTTGGGTTCAAACTGCAAACTCTATTTTTAGGGTGACATCTCAAATCTTGGCTCAGCTGTTTTATCCTTATTGGGGCTGCCTTATGTCTGTCCTGTGTATGGGTGATTTGGGGTCAGGCAGAAACTTGAGCAGCATTTACACAGGAAAGTTGAGGCTTTTTCTCTCTTCCCTCTCCTTTTCTGGATTCTACTCATTTTCCAGGAGTTGTGGTTGCTCCAAATTCTATCCCCTGGTTTTTCAGGCCAGAAAGACTGTGGGTTCTCTCTCAGTGTTAGTTACCTCTGAGGACACTGATGGACACTCTCCCTCAGGTGAAAAGTCTTAAAACTAGGGCACTCCCCTCATACTGTTTCCTTCTTCCAAGTATCAACTTTCCTCTAGAATCTGTAACTTTTGGATACTCTTCAGGGCTTCCAGCCTTCAGTAGGTTTTTATTTTGATTTTTTTGTTTTGTTTGTTTTGTTTTTGAGTCTAGAAGCTTCTAATTGTTATCTTCAGGAAGATTAGTATAGTACAAACTTACTCATCCATACCAGAAGTGGAACTCAGTCCAGAAACTGGATTTTTTAACTTTTTTAAAAAATAAAATGTTCAATTATTTTTGAAAGAGAGAGAGATAACATGTGCGCAATTGCTCTCGAGCATGAGTGGGGGAGGGGCAGAAAGGGGGTGGGCACAGAGGATCTGAAGCTTGCTCTGTTCTGGCAGCAGGGAACCGGATGTGGGGCCTGAAGTCATGAGCTGTTCACTGTCCATGAGGTCATGGAAGTCGAAGGTTTAACTGGCTGAGCCACCCAGGCTCCCCCAGAAACTGGATTCTGAACCAATGAGACATATTGACTGTCACTTAGTAAAATGCTGATCTGGCCTCATCAAATATTCTAGAAAAAGTCATTGCTCTGAGAAGTGTCTGAAACAATGGGTTTTTAGACACTATGTAAGTCTGATGATGGTTTTTGAAGGATAATTTTTGTTAATGACTGTCCATCTATAGACAAGGACCCTCCCCCTCCTTTTTTTCCCTCTGAAAAGAAAGTAATGACCATATGCAAACAGGAGATACTGACTCATCTCAGGTGAAGCCAACCCTTCAGGGTGACTTATTAAGCCTTAAGAGACTGGGGGAAATGGCCAAGTGGGTGGGCCTTCTGCTAATGCTTGCTTCTGACTTGGCTAGATTTAGAACAAATTCATTCTGATTTGGGAAAGGTATGAACTTGATTTTCCAGGTCATTAGGAAGCATCTTCTGTTCCTTTTTATTTACCATCAAGAGGGCATGAGATCCTAGGATGTGATTAGAAACAAGCAAATAAATGCAAGTTGTATGAAGTCATTCAGTCACGCAGAGCACTGTTGGGAGGTGGGGGGAGGTGAGGGAGGTGCTAGGACCATGGGGAGAGGCAAGGTCAGAGACCTTTTACACACCTGGGCCCTGCTTAGTCCTTTCTGTGAGCACTGAGGTGGGGACTGGATGTTTGGGGGTAGTTCGGATGGACCTGGGTCTCATAGGTTCAGCATTTGTCATCGCTTGAGTCTTCTGTGGCTTAGGAGTTTTGGGGCTGTTGGAAGGAGTTTTGGCTCTGTAATTTCCCTTTTCTCCTCTGTAAAACTGTATCCATGGATTAGATGTGCTGGATTCTGGTGCCAGGACTCTCTAGGGAGGGCCTCTCCACCTTACCAGCACTAGCCAGAGGGGGGATTATGGGAATAGGAGCCAAGACTGAGGCGGTTAGGGGCAGGAGAGTGTGGACATGGGAAGGTGACATGCCAGAGACCAAAGGTATCATCACCCTCCTGGCTAAACTTTCCTCCAAGTCCACCGTAGACCCAGAGAACCCCATGGTGTGGGTGAGAAAGTGCAGCTCTCTGTGTGGAGGGCACTGCCCTCCCCTCCCAGGAGAGCTTAGAGGTCAATGAGTGCCAAGCTCTCCCAAGGGGTCAGACCTGAAAAACCACCCATGGGCTTCCTCTCACTGAGCTGAGCTGCCTCCACAGAGCAACTACTACTTCAGGAAGAAAACATGCATTTTTCTCACTGTCTCATCTCTCCAGGGGTGTGGGACTCCAGGTGGCTTAAAACAGTGGGAAAAGGGGAGGGGGAGGGGCTGAAGAAAGGGAGAAAACAGAGGGAGATGGTGGAGGGCATGGAAGGCAAATGTCACTTGTTCCGGGTTGCAGATTCTACTTGGCTCAGCAATCCTTTGCCCTGTCCCTCCCTGCTCCCCACGTTTGCAATTCCAGTTTATTAGCTGTCAAGTTTGTGCTCGCCAGCACTCTTTATCAAGTGTGCTTGATAAAGATGATGCTTTGGAATCTATTCACTCTGTCTTTAAAAATTTTTCACCAATTTGATTTCCCCATAATGAATTTCCCCTCCTTCCAAATAGCTATCAGCCCTGCCCCTCAGGGAGCTTTCCCTAAGCTCCAGCGGCTCTGAAGGTGTTTGGTCTCAGCTTACATCCCTCTGTCCACACCGAGGGGATCTCCCTGCTCTGGGGTGTCAGAGGTCCAGTTTCTTGGGCAGCCTGGCCTGAGGAGCACATCTTTCTTCCAGGCTGAAAATGCAGTAGAAGAGGGTGAAGCTCCAAGATCAGAGGGTGACAGGGATTGCACAACTGTCAAGAGTTAGGACCTCCAATGGCAAACATGTAGTTTGTCACATTTGTCACTGAACTATTGCTCGGTGACATATCTTACCAGCTTTTGTTTTTATTTGTACTTTTTAAGCTATTCCTCCCCAGTCATCGTGGGGCTGCATGCCTATTGTAGAATTTTGAATAATAGAGAAAATGATAAAGAGATTAGAGGAAATCGTCCACAGATTTACTACCCACTGGTAACATTGGCACATTCCTTTCTAGTCCTTTCCTTTTGCATCTATTCTTTCTGTATATATGAGATCAAGTAGCATATACCCTTTTCCCTACTGCTTTTTTTTTTTTAAGTTTTTTAAATTTTATTTTGAGAGGAAGAGACAGCATGAGCAGAGGAGAGGCAGAGAGAGGGGGAGAGAGGGAATCCCAAGCAGACTCTGCAATGCCAGCTTTGGAGCCGGGTGTGGGGCTCCAACTCATGAAACACAAGATGGTGACCTGAGCTGAAACCAAGAATCAGTGGCTGAACCAACTGAGCCACCCAGGCATCCCTTCCATACTTCTTATAAAAAGTAGCCCTTTATCAATAGGGTTTTCCTATGAAATTAAAATTCTGTAAGTATCATTTTCAATGATTAGATAACGTCCTGTCAAAAGTATATGCCTATTTTACCTAACAACGGGCCTATTTTTTGGGATATACAAGGTGTTTCCACTTCTAAGTTACTACAAGTGAATCTGAAATGAACGTGCTGGTGCACAAGCCTTTAGGACAGATTCCAGGAGTGGGACGACCAGAAGGACCGGTTTCTCTTAATCCTCAGCGGGCTGAGCGTTTCCCAGCCCCCAGTCCTCCCGCCCCAATTACGAGCTTCAGTCCGACTCTTATGTCAGTTACTCTGTTCCACCTCATGACTTTCTCAAAGTCTGTATCCATTCACATTCCCACCAGCACTGGATGGACATCCAGGTTATTTGGAAAGGTCATGTGCAAGCTAGAAAAAAAGCCTTTCTGTTGCTTTGATCACAGGGAAAGTTATGCACCCTGATCTCCATCATGGTGCACAAGTGAGAGGCAGAGAGAGGTATAGACCCAAATTGTCTGCCCCCTGATACCAGGTTCCTGCTACACACTACAGGGTGTCAAAGAAGTGGGGAGAGCACTGCGGGTAAGTGTAAGCTGGGCTTTCTGAGGGCTTGGGAGTCGTGGGTGGCTATGGTGTAGGATTGGTCCGATTTTGGTTTTGGTTGTGGTTTTGGTCTCACCACCTGGGTCATTTGTCACTGAGATCAAGGCCAATCAGTGCCTGGGGAGTGTCTGCTCAAGGCTGTGTCCCTGGAAGGACAGATCTTATCATTCTTTTTTATTTTCCAGTTTTGAGATATATTTGACCTATTCACATAGTGTGTAAGTCTAAGGTATGCAAGGAAGTGATTTGATATATGTATATATTGCAGAATGGTGATCCCAATAAGCTTAGTAAACACATCTATCACCTTACTTCATTGCAAGTGTTTTGTTTTGTTTTGTTTGGTGCTGAGGATCTTTCAAATCTCTCTTAGCAACTTTCAGTTGTACAGTACAGTATGTTGTTAACTACAGTCACTATGCTGTATGTTACATCCTTAGAACTGACTTATCTTGGAACTGCAAATTTGTTACCCTTTGACCACCTTCACCCATTGGCACCCCCAGCCCTGGAGGCCACTCATCTTCTCTCTGTTTCTGAGTTTGTTTGTTTGTTTGTTTTCAGCTTCCACGTGTAAGTGAGATTGCATGGTATTTGTCTTCCTCAGTCTGACTCATTTTGCTTAGCATAATGCCCTCAAGATTCATCCATGTTGTGCCAAAAGGCAGGATATTCCCTTCTTTTTTATGGCTGAATAATATTCTATTCTATCTATATCTCTGGCACATTTTCCTTTATTTATAAATCACATTTTTTAAATCTCTTCATCTGTTGATGGACAATTGGGTTGCTCCCATGTTTTGGGTTCCCATGTTTTGGGAACAATGCCACAGTGAATATGGGGAAAGGTATCTCTTTGAGACAGAGGTTTTATTTCATTCGGACATATACCCAGAAGTGGAATTGCTGGATTGTGTGATAGTTCTATTTGTAATTTTCTGAGAAAGCTCCATACTGTTTTTTACAGTGGCCGCACCAGTCTACATTCCCACCAACAGTGCATGGGGATTCCCTTTCCTCCGCACCTTCACCTACACTGGATATCTCTTGCCTTTTAGACAGTAGCTACTCTAACAGGTGTGGAGTGATATCTCTTGGTTGTTTTGATTTGCCAGATCTTGTCATACTTTTAATGCAGGTGGATGGAGACTTTCCCAAATGGCTGTTTCTGTCCCAATTCCAAGATCCAGGCTGCAGGGGACCAGGGACTGGATTTACCTGAACATAGGCAGTGCATCTGCTCTACTGCGTTGGAAAAACACCACTCTTAATTTAACACCCTTGGACATGTAACCTCCTGCGAACACAAATTTATAGCTGTGAAAATATGATTATTTATATGCCCATCTGTGTGCAGTTTCCCCCCTTTTTCCTTTTTTTTTTGGTTTACTCTTCATTCGCCTTTCCCTCCATTTCTCTTCCATATTAGTGACACCCGGCAGTCAGGTAACCCGAGTTCACAACTACTTCCCTGCCATAGTTCTTCATGTCATCAAATGCCAGACATGGGTGTGCATGTATGCAGTATATGTGCATGTACACATATCCATATATATACACACGTGAACATACATATTTACATGGACGGCAATATATGGTGATTAGTTTATTACAGTGAATCAAGTATGACCACCTGACTATACTTGCTTTTTCATCCAGCCATGCTTCCTTGAGCCCCCTTTAAGCCACCTATTATCTGTCTAATTTATTCTTTTAAATAATGGCATAATATATATGGTGTGGTTGCACCCAAATTGATTTAGCTATTCCCCTAGTAATGATAATTCCACTTGTTTCCATTTTTCTCTCATGATAGGCTTTGCTACAGTGAATGCTCTCCAACATATGTACTAGTGATTTTATTTCTATAGGATAGATTCCCAGCAGGGGAATTGTTAGGTCAAAAGCCGTATGCATTTGTAATTTTAGTGATAGCATCAGATGGCTGCTAAAATGATTGTGATATGTTACATTTCCACCAGCCATGTAGGACAGTTTCTTTATATCCACACCAGTAACAAGAGTTATAGCTTTTCATCTTTTTACATGTCAGAAGGGTATAAAGTGATATTTTGTTGCTATGTAACACTTCCATGCCTGCTAGTGAATTTGATCATCTTATGTTTACAGGATAAATGAACTTGAAATTCTAGATTTGTTTCTAGTTTGATTTGTCTCTGTTTCTTTGCAAGATCCACTTACCACATTTGTAGATGCTGTTTGCATGTTTTAAGTATTAACTTTATATGATCTGCATTATAAATATTTTTCCTGAATTATTCCTTTAGTATTGTTTGTATAGGTGATATTTTACTGTTCAAAGGACTTTCGTTTTCTTTGTAACTTTTCATGGCCAAATATGCCTATCTTTTCTTTTATAGCTTTTACGTTCTCAATCTTGATTAAGAAGGTGTTTTCTGCTCTATATCATATATATTGCCTTTTAGTTTGCTGGGGCTGCCATAAAAGAGAGGGGGCCTTAAACAGCAGTAAGTTATTTCTCACAGTTCTAGAGGCCAGGAAGTCCAAGATCAAGTAGCCAGAAAATTTGGTTTCTGGGTAGGGCTCTCTTCCTGGTTTGTAAACTTTATTATCCAATTAATTTTTTAATTGCCCTACTTTAAAAAATTCTTTTAACATTTACTTTTTGAGAGTCAGAGCATGAGCCAGGGAGGAGCAGAGAGAGGGGGAGACAGAATCTGAAGCAGGCTCCAGGCTCTGAGCTATCAGCACAAAGCCTGATATGGGTCTTGAACTCATGAACTGTGAGTTCATGACCTGAGCCAAAGTCGGACACTTAACTGACTGAGCCACCCAGGTGCCCCTTAATTGCCCTATTAAAAATAACTATTCAAAATGGAATTACATGAATTATATATATTGACTTTTGGAGAATTAGTATTTTTGTGAAATCAACAATTCATTTTATAGTTTCCTTCGTATATCTTGTGCCTTTCTTGTTAAATTTACTTTCTAAACCCTGCTGATCATGAGATTCTCTGTTAGACTCTGTGATCTCTTGTCTTTAAAGATGGCTGCCAGCACCGTCCCCCATCCCTGCACCATATGCAGTGGCCACTTGCCACTCCTTCTAGTAAAAGGTGGGATGGATTCCTCTTTCCCTTGACTCTGGGCTGGTCTTATGACTTGCTTTTACTCACAGAATGTGGTGGAAGTGACACATTGTGGCTTCTAGCCTTAGACCTTAAGACGCCTTTCAACTTCTGCTTTTGCTTTCTTGGAAGCCAGCTGCCATTTAAAGGGTCCTGGGCTAGAGCACAGAATGGACAGCAGCCATGTGGACAGAGGGCAGCCTCATCAGCCCCCACAGCCTTTTCCAGTTGAGGTACCAGACATGTGACTGAAGCCATTTTAGGTGTTTCAGCTGCTACTCAGTTTCTAGCTGAGGGCAGCCCCATGAACGGCTCCAGCCCATACCACAAAGAGGTGAAGAAACTCCCAACTGAGCCCAGCTGGAAACACAATCCTAGGAAACAATAAATCTTTGTTTTAAGCTGCTAATTTTGGGGTGGCTTGTTATAAAGTAATAAATAACCCAAAACACATACAAAAGACTACAAAAACATATGACAGTTAAACACACACACACACACACACGCACACATGAACAAACAGTGGGATATCACCATGTAGTTTAGAAATAAAAATTACTAGTTACTTAGAAGCTCCTGGTTCACATCTTCCTCCTTCTCTGCCAGAGATAACTACTATCCAGAACTTTCTGTTAGTCATCTTTGCCCTTTTAATTTTACCGTCTATGTACATATCCTAAAACAGTACTTTATTTTTGACATTGCATAAATGGAATCATACAGTATATATGCTTTGTCACGATTTTTGCTTAATATTTTGTTTTTAAGATTTGTCTACATTGAATTAGTGGTGGTTCATTCATTTTTCATGCCAAATTGCACTCCATTATTGATAATATTTGGATTGTTCCAGTATTTTGTTCCTATGTTGTGAATATGTATTTTAAATCATATTTCAAAATTTTTTTATTTGGCTGAAATTTTTATCAAGGTAAAAAAACTGACAAATTCTATCGATTTTTATTTTTATTTTTTATTTTCATTTTTTATTTGAGAGAGAGAGAGCGTGAATGCTGGCGGGTGAGGGGCAGAAGGAGAGAATCTTAAGCAGGCCCCATACTCAGTGTGGAGCCCGACATAGGGCACAATTCAATGACCCTGGGATCATTGCCTGAGTTGAAATCAAGAGTTGGATCCTTAACTGACAGTGCCACCCAGTTGCCCCAAATTTTATCAATTTTAAATATGTATATCTAGTTTTCAAGGGTACTTAGATATACAAGGTTTTTAAAGAATAATACAGCTGTCCCGTGGAGCGCCAGCGTGGCTCAGTCGATTAAGCAACCAGCTCTTGATTTCAGCTCATGGTTGTGAGATCAAGCCCTGCGTTGGGGCTTCGTGCTGGACATGTAGCCTGCTTGGGATTCTCTCCCTCTCCCTCTCTCTCTGCCCCTCCCCTGCTCTCTCTCTCTCCAAATAAATAAACATTAAAAAAAAATACAGCAGTCCTCTCCTGTCTAGTCCATCCCATCGATTTTTCTACTCTGCAGAGCCAACCACTTCCAACTTTTTTTTTTTTTTTTACAAATAGTTTATTGTCAAATTAGTTTCCACATAACACTCAGTGCTCATCCCCACAAATGTCCTCCTCCATGCCCATCCCCCCTCCCCCCCACATCCATCAGTCCTCAGTTTTTGTCAGCATTCAAGAGTCTCTCATGGTTTGCCTCTCTCCCTTTCCCCCACCATTTCCGCCCTTTTTCTCCCCCTTGGTCCTCCATCAAGTTCCTCCTAATCCTCCTATACGTGCAAACATATGATATTTGTCCTTCTCTGCCTGACTTATTTCGCTCAGCATAACACCCTCAAGGTCCATCCATGTTGCTACACATGGCCAGATTTCATTGTTTCTCATTGCCATGTAGT